CACAGACACGGGGGCGGGGGGGGGGGGTGAGGGCGGCAATGGGGAGATATGTGGGGATAAGGACACATATGTAATAACTTAATCAATAAAAAAATAAAAATAATAAATTTTAAAAAAAGAATGCTTCTCACATTTGGCCCCGTAAGGGTGGAGAAGACATCTATAATAATAAAAGCGTAATATGCTAATTAGACCAGATGTCCTTCCTTCTGGACAAAGCCGCAGCAGGCAGGGGTCCCAGCAGAGGTCCTTGGCTGCTGCAGCGGCGGATAGGGGCTGGGACCAAGGCCCTTGCACGAATTTTGTGCATCGAGCCTCTAGTATAAATATAACTCATAACCTCCAGGAGAGACAGGATTACTTGGTATTTGCATTACATCTTTTATTTATGAAATTAATACACTTAAAGAATTTCACTTAAACAGTTTCATTGAATCCTCCCATCAACCAACCCTATGAGGTGACAATTTTTACTATCCCATTTTATAAACAAGAAAACTGAAACTTAGAGAGTTAATTTTCCTGAAATCAGAAAATAGTAAGAAAAGCTGGGATTCAAACAGATCTGGTTCCAAAAGCTAGGTGCTTCACTACCCTGTTATCTGTCCTGTCTGGAGAGCATTCAGCCAGGAAGTTGATACATGTAGAGAGTGCGCATTAGTTATGGTAATTTCTACTAGTAAATGGAGGTTGTGGTGGATATCTACTCTCCATATGTCTGCTTCTCATGAACATGGAGTCTTCCTAGCATGTACCTGTCGTTAAAAGCATCACTGGCCAGTGGTGGCTTCTTGCTGAACGTTTTTAATTCACTTAAAACCATAAACCTAAATTTGACATAAAATACAGGCCAACCCCACCTCCCTCAACCTCAGACCTCCACCCTGTTTCCTATTTTAAGAATTTTTTTGTTATTAATCGAATGGCTGGGGGGGGGGGGGCAGGGTGGGAGGTCAATTGGGGGAAAAGGAGGCATATGTAAAACTTTAGACGATAAGAAAAAATACATCTTCCACTCTAAAAAAAAAAAAGAATTTTGTTATTAATCAGTCATCTAGACTCAAGAGCTATAAAAACAATAACAGCTAACACTTACTGAGAATACATTCCAGTTATTGTGCTAAGCATTTTAGACATCATGCATTTAACCCTCTTTACTACCGCATGAAGAAGGTACAATTATTAACCCCATTTTATAAATGAGGAAATTGAAGCTTATATAAATGGCCAAAGGTGACACCTTAGCTTCATCTTTCATTATTCATCTTATTCACCCTCCGTAGCTCATGAATCACCAAGTCCTCTCAATTCTCCCTCTGTGCTATTTCTTGCTTTCTTTCCATGTTCACTGCCACTGTAACAGTCTTGGCCCTTTTTGACTTATGTCTGAATTGTTGCCATAACCCAATATAGTCTATCTTATTCCATGATCCCTTTTCTTAGACCTTTCTAATATGCTTTGGTAAGACTAAGCCACCTAAAATCCCACTTTTATCCTATCCATTTCGAAGTCCAAACCTTTAAACCGGAGAAGGTACTCCCAAATATCCCCAGCGGTCTATCCTTGGACAGTGTAATGGCAGCAATATTTTTTTAAATTAAATAATTTTATTATATTAAAATTAAAAGGAAAAAAATGTTACAACTATAGGTTGAAATTACAGGACAAGATACATAATACAGATAAGCAAATATTGTACCATATAAATGTGTAGCTCAAATTTCATGTATTCTAGCAGTGGGGAGCTCTCACTGGTCATCTGACCAACCCAAATATGCAGTTCTATTTTTCAAAGGCAAGCCTTTGCATAAAAAAACAGTTATGTAAATGTGCTTAGTGTTTTCTATGTATTTCTAAACTTTATTATTAGTAGTATTAAAATAAATGTACATGGTAAAGGAAAAATTGAATCAAAATACCACCAAAGGATTTAGCAATAAATTTTTTTCTCTCTCTCCCAAGGATAACCATTGAATAAGGTGATTTGTATTTTCTTCTTTACACTTTACACTTTTCTGTAATTTATAGACTTTTAGTAATGCACATGTATAGCCTTATAATGGAAATGAAAGCCAATAAAGAAGAATTTTAAAAAGGAACCAAATTTTCCGCCATTCCCTGCTATTTATAAAAGCTAAATTATTTGACTTAGGCCCTATGTACTCTGGCCCCAAACTGCTTTCCGGGCTTATTATACACAATTCAATACAAATGCTCTGCTTCAGTTAAAGCATTTTAAACACTCTTTCCCTGCGGTGTCTCTGTGTGTTTTCTCTTCCTGTGAGTTTCCCCGTTCTCTTTTAATATCCCAATTGACTCTATTGTTCAAGATCGAAGTCAGCTCTATACAGTCTTCCTAAAAAGGGAGGAATCAGTATGCAGCGAGTGTTTACCGTGCGGGCTATGCATTAAGTCGGTGCTTTACTTGGTATTCATTTGAACCTCACAACAGCTCTGGATGGTTTGTATGAATTACCTTCATTTTACAGATGAGGAAACGAAGTGTCCCTCAAGTCACACAGCCAGTAGCTGGAATTTGTAGCCGGCTATCCTGTCTCAGCTCAGTGAGCTCTCATTTTTCCACCAGCTTTTGTAGCACATATCTGGGTAAACTGGACCAATAATCACAGAAGTGCATTCTAAGATTTCTTATAATGTTATTTTGAATGCCTTCTATTTTGTATTTTTGTTATTTTGAATGCCATATATTTTGTACTTTTTTTTTACCTTAACAAAACCTCCTGTGGGTTCTAACATGCTATTTCCTAGCAATATGTCTTTGGGCTAACTCTTTAACACCTTTCTTAGCCTCAACTCCCTCCACTGTAAATTAGGAAGACAATAATAATACCTAATTCTTAGGGTTATAACAAGAGTTAAAAACCCAGTATATAACTTGTACAAAAGAGCTGATTGTTGTGTATTTGATTTAATATGGCAATATTAGTTTATTTTCAAATTCCATTTAATTTCTAGTTGTCTTTTTATAGTAGTAGTTTAAGATATTTCTAAAACTCAGTGACCTAAATAAGACTAGACTTTTATCTTCCATACATTAAAAAACAGATTTTACACAAAATTAAAAAGTACTTGTTTGCTACTTGGTCAGAATATCCTATCTTGCTATTTAACCAACATTGAACAGAGGTTCAGTTATTTGTTAAAGACTGTTTGTTCCTAAGGATAAATGTTTATTTACATTTATAAACACGAATGTTGTTATTGAATGTTGTCATTGTTAGTCCAGAAAGCCACTGAGGACTTGAAACCTATATTTACTTGGAAAATGGAAAAATTAGTTTAAAATCCCTGATATTAAAAAACGGACATCATTTTTTCTTATATCCTTTTATCAGAGAAAAAAGGAATCACTGTGTTCATTCCAATTATTTTCCTTTAGGATCACATGAAAAGAAGCAAAATTCACAAATATTTTTTAGCCTTTCATTTGTTTACTTTCCCTCCTACTACCACCATCATTTTTTTCTGGTTATACAAGAATTGTTCAGCCTTTTGAAAGATGAGTACACCACATGTTAGAATGATAATTCTTTTATCCTTAATATTTTATTTTACAGTTGTCAAAAGACTTGTCAAAACAACCTCGACATAAACCCCAAATGTATGTTCTACCTAATACTGAAAATAAAGTGTGGGTTACAGATAGCAAAAGTCCATCTGCTACTTTCCTGAGATTGTGACGGAGAAATTCTCCTTTCTCAGGGTACTTCTCTATTACCTGTTTGTTATTAATTGTTTGATTAAATCAAAACAAACAGTCTGGTTATCAGGACATTAGGATCTTTGTAGGGTTCAAATGTCCTACATCTGTCTGTAGCTAGGTATTATCCTTTTTTTTCTCCTCGTAACAGTCAAGTTTTTTGAAAGAGTAGTTTTTATTCTACTGTTTCCATTTTCTTCCTTCTTATTTCCTTTTCAACTCACTGAAGTCTTGTAGAAGCAAGATTGTTTTCGATTAAACCATTCTCTCCACAGTCACTAAATCAAAGAAAATCTTTTTAATCTATCTAATGGGGCGTCTCTGAGTATTAACTCACTGGAAATATGCTCTTTCCTGCTTCAAACTCTTTTCTTGGCTTTCTGTAACAGCAATGTCCACTGCTTTTCTAGTTTCTCCTTCTCAGCCTCCCTGTAAGCTTCTCTTCCTGAAACATCAGTATTCCCTTGATTCCCAACACCTTTCTTCTCTTACTCTCTCTGCATGATCTCATCCCCTGGCCATGACTGCAACTAAATATGCCAAAGGGATCCCAAATCGTTATCTCCTGCCTAAACACGGTCTGTGAGCTTCAGACACATAGATGCAACGGTCTATTCCTCGCAAGCATGTCAAACTTGTGGCCACCAGACCGCATGCCTCGCCCACTGGCCGCAAGTTTGACATGCTTGCCTGAGAGATTCCATAGGCACCTTGAAGTCAACATGCTTAAAATTCAACTTCCAGCCCTAGCTGGTATGGCTCAATGGGTAGAGCGTCGGCCTGTGGACTGAAGGGTCCCGGGTTTGATTCCAGTCAAGGGCACATGCCTGGGTTGCGGGCTCGATCCCCAGTAGGGGGCGTGCAGGAGGCAACCAAACAATGATTCTCTCTCATCATTGATGTTTCTCTCTCTCCCTTTCCCTTCCTCTCTGGAATCAATAAAAATATATTTTTAAAAATTCAACTTCCCACCTTTCCAATTGCCATAGCAATCAGCACCATTATTCACCCATTAGCTCAAGATAGAAACCTAGGAGTCAGTCAATCTTGATACTACCTCCCCCCTTAAGATGTAGCTGGTCATCAGATCCTTTTGATTCTAGTTTTTTACTATATTTTGAATCTGCCTTTATTTATATTTAATTCTCCAACTTATACAGGTGTCTCTTATCTTGCTTTATGTCCTCCCCACCAAACCATTCTTTATATAGCAAAATGCAGATCTGATCCTGTCATTTCTCCTACTTAAAATCATCCAGTGGCTTCCCCATCGCTTACCTTGAGTATTTAAAGCCTGGCATAGCTTATAAGGCCTCTATGACCTTGATTCCAATTAGGTGTGTAGTACAGGCTATTCAGATCCCAGCACTTCCATGTACTGTGCAACCTTGAGCATGTTAACTGTAAAATGGAGGTAATGATAGTTGTGAGGATTAAGTGGTTAATTTTCAATAAATGTTAGCTACTCTTTTAAATTATGATTAATAAAATAGTACTATTATCTCCTTAAGATAAATTCTCAAAGTGGAATTTCTGGGTGTCTATTTTTAAAACATACTGCCAAATTGCCCTGCAGAACAGTTATACCAATTCATACTCTCACCTATGATAATAAGAAGGCCCGTTTCTTCACTCTTGAGTTAATCCTGGGATGAACTATTTTAATAATCTTTGCTAAATTGATAAGTGAAAAATCACCTAGTGTTTCTAACTTATTGTGTCAGTTTACATATTTGCCACAAGAAAGATCAGCTATACATTGATAACAGGGTACTATTGATATTTACTCTTTCTTGGTTGTACGTCTTAATTTGACATTGAAGTTTTTCATCTTCTTCTGAGCTTGGATTTCACGTCTTTGAACCCCTTTACCTCTTCCATTTCCTTAGGAATGAGTATGTCTTTATTTAAATGAATGCATTAAACACAATTCCTATTAGATTTTAAGGACTATATTTAGTTCAGTTTCTTTGTAAACCTTTAGATGGGGAGTGCAGGTGAGGGTTGAGGGACCCTTTTCTAATCCCAGTTTAGTCCCTAACTAGGTGTGCATCCTTGGGCAAGCCACTTAACCTCTCTGGACCTTCACTTTCCTAGATATAAAATGAGTGGATGGTACCAGGTAATGTCTTAGTTATTGTCTAGTTCTCATGTTACATAGGTAAAATTTTTCTTCCATGAAGTTCCTTTGGAGGCAAACTCTTGGAATATACCCTCCTGCTCTGTTGCAAATATGGACTGCTCTCCTCCAACACAGTGTCACCTCTTTGAGGCAGAACTTGCTTCTTTCCAGAACTTTGATTCATTCGTATGGTGCCATGAGCCCTAGGACAATAGCAGCAACTACCATCCAAAAAAACACAGCCAAAACTTAAATGTAAAGTAGGTCATAATTATTTTGCATGTAACAAAACCCTTTGAAAATCTGTTGAAAGTTAGGGATCAACTCACAGGAAAACACACATGAGCATATATGCACAACATTTTAAGGAGTCCCTAGACCCTCTGAAGCCAATTATGTATGTATTCTCTAGGGATCCATGCATCCTAGGCTAAGAACACTTGCTTTGGGGACATTAAAGTGATCCCTAGGATAAACTAAATGATCAAAAATGATTCCTTCCTATTGGAAAAGGGAGCTGCTAACTTAAGTACATATTTATAGAATATTATTAAAACTCTCTCTTTTCTTAAAATATATTTTTATTGATTTCAGAGAGGACGGGAGAGGGAGAGAGAGATAGAAACATCCATGACGAGAGAGAATCATTGGCTGCCTCCTGCACGCCCCACACTGGGGATTGAGCCCACAACCTGACCAGGAATCGAACCGTGACCTCCTGGTTCATAGGTCGACGCTCAACCACTGAGCCACGTCAGCCAGGCTAGTTTTAGTCTATATCTTGTTTTTCTAATTAGATGATACACACCAGGAAGGCTCCTGTAATAGTTACCATAGCATCACAACACAAGGAAGACACTCCAATATAATTGTTGTATAGATGTAGAAAGGGGAGAGAGGTTTCAAGATGCGTCAGTAGAGTAAGGCTACTGAAGCTGCAGCATGTGAAGGGTACTCCATAAATTCACACGGTGCCTTTCAACCAGGCAAGATCAATGCTCTCTACCTCTAGGACAAGGATTCTCTCTCTTTTCCTCCCGTTCCCCAAATCCCAGCTCCTCCAACTAAGCAGACTTGAGATGCAACTACCCCTTCAAAACTGTTCTAAAACCAGCAGGTCTATGGTTAGATTGTCAGAGGTTTACTTGAGCTCAGACAATCCCATGGAAGCTGCAGTAACACCTGCTGGCCACCAGAGGACAGGGAGCCGGGGGAGAGATTGCTTCCCCCTCCGCGGGAGTCTTAGAGGTCAAAGGCAGTAGAATGTGGGCTCTCCATCCATGGCCCTCAGGCTTTTTGTACTGGGTGAAGAGCTCAGCGGTCTCCCATTTCCAGATGGGCTCCTTTCTCTCCTCTAGAAGATGGGCTGGAAGTTCCCAGAGGCTTACCCCAATACTAACCTTAAACGATTATCAGTCATAGCCAGTGCACTTGAGTTGCAGGGCTTAAAGGCAGAAAAGACGTATGGAGATATTTTATCTTTCTAATCCACCCCAAACCTGGTTCTCTGTTCTTGAGCCAATTAAAAAAAAAAAAAAAGTCCCTTAGGCAGTGTCCACATGGACATTCCACAAGAAAGTTGCCTTTAGGGACCAATGTCCCAAATGTAGTACATTGCAAATGGAATATTTTAGGAGCTAGATGATTCCTACACATAACTTCTGGCCGGAGCAGTCCGTTCTCAGTGTGCTTTTCCGTCATTAATCACATCTTTGTTATGTGATATCCACGTGAGTACTTCTCAGTCGAAGCAGCTCCATGCTCAAATGCTCAAAGAACAACTAGAATAAAGCTCCGATTGTCCTCGTCAGTGATCCCAAGTCCTGGTTTGTCACCACCTCAGGTCTCCAGTTTTTCAAAGTGTGTAATGTGTCTCAAAACAAAGCTGTTGTAATTAATCCAAAATACGAAAATGCACAAAGTGTATAGAGCTACCATCACAGGGTCTGGCACCTCCAGGGGCAGTGAACTTCTGGTCTGATTTAAAGACGATTGCTCACTGTTCCATGCAGAAAACATTTTTTAAAGAGAAATTTTTGGCTGCTCGCGCTCATTCAAGTTGTAAACATAAACAAGTCTAAGAAAACATAAGCCAAGTAAAAGAATGCTGGGGACATTCATGCGGGGGCTTTCAGCGACAAGCATGACAGAGGGCTGGCCGCCTGACAACACGAGCGCGACTTTTCTCCAAGTACCTGCAGCTTCTCTTTCATAACCCAGGGCCGTGCCCTGCCGTTTGCATTCGTCAGACTTTTTACAGGAGTGACTGTAACTCTCTCAAATCATTGTTTGCGTTTCTTCACGCTGGCGAGGCCGCTGGAAACAGCCCAAGCAGGAGGGAAAGGCGCTGGGTCTTGGGGCGGGGGGTGGAGGGGGGGTGGAAACCCTGGAAATACCTGTTGGGGC